AAATCAGATATATATAAACACATCTTACTTTGATCAGAAATGACTGATAATCAACTCCATCAAGTATGCTAGCCACCAAATTCTGTATCTTCACTAGGTATCTTTACTACCTTAACTCATCAACTCTTCTAAACATGTTAGCACTGAATATCTATTATCGCCTACATTAATTATTCTAATCATCAACTTCAAGAAAAATCGTTAACATCTCCATCAATTATTGTTATCACCAACTTCATCAAATATCTTTATCAAAGCCATCAAATTTCTTTATTAACTTCATCAAATATATTTATCAAGTCCTTCAAGTATCTTTATGGAGTTTCTTAATTATCTTTAATAAACCCATCAAGTATTAACTCATTCAAACATCGGTATTAAAGCCATCAAGCATTGTTATTAAAGCCATCAAGTATCTTTATTAACTCCATTAAATATCTTTATCAAGTCCTTCAAGTATCTTTATTAATTTCACGAAGCATCATTATTAAAACCATCAAGAACGCTGTCATCACTTCCATCAAGTGTGGTTATCCCAGATATCACTGTCTTAATGTCAACTACGCTTAATCAAAAATTATATAGTTGTCAAATTGGTTAAAAAGGCATTTTAAAACAAGTTACACAGGTCTAGAATAAATTTCTTAATACAGAAGGGTTAAATTTTATTCAATAGAATTGAAATAATAAAATAATTAAAAATCAGTTTATAAATATCGGAACAATATTTAAACTTTTCATTCCTCAATAGTCTCAAAATATTTTTAATTGGACAGTGTAATTGTATAACTAATTCACGCAAGACATATTAAATTGGTTTGTCACTTTTGAGTAGTGTGTTCGTCGTAGCTAAAGTCCTAATTAACTGACAATTGTTTGTTTTTTTATTTAGGGTCTTAGTGATAACTGGTTGGATATGTATGTTCATGTTTATTGTTTATCACACACACACACACACACATATACATGATTTACCAAACAAATTTTAAGTAGTACTTAAGCCAGAGTGAGCAAAGAATATACACATTCATCAGTCAGAATAGCAGTTTGATAATTATTTGTATGTGCATTAGAAATAATTTCATTATTTGGTATTTTCAACCTGAATGTCGCCTTGTGGTTTAGAGACCCCAATGTTTAGGATTAACCGTCCCTAATTTATAGCTGCACCCATCGTCTATATGGCCATTCGTAATCGATTAGCAGGACTTACTGTCAATTTTATAACGCACCCACAGTTGAAAGTGTGGAACGTGTTCAACAGCATAACAGAGTCTCGAACCTTGGATCTTCCAGCACAATATCCACTAATCCACGCCTATCCCTTTAATCATTTGAATATGTCCAATCTTCTTTGAAGTATAGTGTTACGACAGCGGAAGTCACGTGACTCTGCTGGCACATTGGCGCTGGTGGCGTGTGCGAGGAGTTTCCCGGATGATCATGAATTTTCGGGGGAGTCCTACTGCGTTAGAGACGCCCTCTTCTTTAGTATATAAGCCTGTCAGAGAAGCGAACAGTAGTGACGGTAAGT